AGCGTCGCTGCGAGCGCGGCTCCCATGCCCGGCAGGTTCGTGGTCTGTGCCGCGGGGAGCAGCCTGGCGTTTCCCATCGTTTGGAAATAATTTTCCATCATTATCAAATAACACGGAATCCTGACCTGCTTCCCCGGCCCACTGCGACGGCCCCCAGCACCCTGTCAATGTGCCTGTTGTTCGGGTGCTGATTAAGCCGAGCGCGCCCGGCCCAGTGGAAAGTCCTTTATGGAAGGAGGATCTTGATAAGGTTCTTGTATCTGCTCTGTCCCGGCTGTGCGCAGGCAGTTAAAAAGTAAATAGCATGGACAAACACGCTGTGATGTACAGGCAGGGGAAAAGATTTCCGATACCATCGGGGATTGCACGGATCGGTACGGTTTGAGACTTAAAAAGAGCTGGGCTTTCCGCCCAGTGGAAAGTCCTTTATGGAAGGAGGATCTTGATAAGGTTCTTGTATCTGCTCTGTCCCGGCTGTGCGCAGGCAGTTAAAAAGTAAATAGCATGGACAAACACGCTGTGATGTACAGGCAGGGGAAAAGATTTCCGATACCATCGGGGATTGCACGGATCGGTACGGTTTGAGACTTAAAAAGAGCTGGGCTTTCCAGGAGGGCAGAGTACATGTGCCTTAAAAGCAGGGGCCCTGTATACAGTGGCTATCAATAGTGTTTTAGTTACTGAATGGTTAAAATTCTTGTTAAACGCTCGCTTTTTCATCCTAGCAGGCGAGTTTGCAGCTCTGGATGTTGATGCTGCGGGAGATCCTTGGGTCTGAGCCCAGCGTGAGGCAGGGCAGGCTGCGGAGCCCCCTCGGCTGCTCCAGCACCCCCGTTTCACCTGCCAAGCCCAGAAGTGAGAGCCTGGAAGGGCACAAAAAAAATTGTCATTTGTGTGAAGCCAGGCCAGAGTGGGAGGTATTTTGCTAGGAAATAAAGAGCAGCAAGATTTCCAGAAGCCCGTGCGGCTCCGCTCATCGCAGGCACGGCTGGCTGGAGCCTCCGGCAGCTCCCCAGGCCCCAGATCCCTGGCACGGGGACCCCGATGCCGTGGGGACACCCGCAGCCCTCGGAGGCGGCTGCTGGAGGTGCCGCAGGTTCCCCCCGCTCCTAAATCGCCCAAACCCGCGTGTTGGCAGCGTGGGTTTTAGCCCGGGAGCTCCACGGCAGCTCTGAAATAATGATTGCGTTCATCTGGAAACTGCTCCAGCGCCTTCTGAGGCGTCTAATTTCATGAAGGGCTTTTATGGGAGGTTTTGGAGCAAGGCGCGAGCAGCTTTCCCATTGCTCGCGGAGACCAGAATCTCTCTTTTTTTGGGATGCCTTTAAATCAAAAGGAAGAAAACACCTGTCCAGCACATTTGCTCAGACCCCAAAGATTTCAATCCAAATTTTTAATGTTCTTTTTCTTTCCATCTGCATTTTTCAGCAAACAGACTCATAGTATTTCTTCAAAGGAATGTAAATTCCTTGAGGAAGTCTCCGGAGTTCCCAGCACCGCATAGCTGCAAACCACAGACGCCTACGGCTGAAAGCTCTGCTCTGCTTTTAATTTTGGGGCAGGGAAGGAATTCTTTTCAGGGGTTTGGGTTCACTTGTGCTGGGCCCGTCAGGCCAGACTGCTTGTTACTGCTCAGGGGAGTGTTGACTTTGGCCAGCTGCAGGCAGTTGCTTTCCCTCCACGAGAGTATTCCCCCACCAAATCTGATGACACGGCGCAATTATTTCATTAGGATTTTCCAAAAAACGTTCCCTTGGTCTCCTCTGGTGCTAGAAAAAGACCTTTTCCCTCTGTTTTCTTGTTTCAGCTTTGGCAGCTTTGCCTGCAAAATGCAATTAAGGGTGGCAGCGCTGCTGCCGGAGCCTGAACCCTTGGGATGGGGGTGCTGAGAAAGAGCATCCGGGGAGGAAAACTGAGTTTTGCAGGGTGTCGTTGGACTCCCGGGGGTGAGTGAAGCCCGTGTGCGAGAGCTGCTGCTTTGCAGCCCAAACCAAGCCCAGGTTTCCGCTGCGAGCTGCGCTCTGAGGGGCAGCTGCTGCTGAGGCTGGGCGATGAGGCTGAGCGAAGGGAGAGGGCGGCTGCACCACGAAGGGACCGCTGTCCCCCTGTTTCCTCCCCAGTCCTGCCCCGGCAGCTGAGCGAGCACCGCACTGCCCCGTACGTGTGCCCCCGTTAACTACTGTGGCCTGTCCCCCCCAAATCGCCCCTCGCCCCCCCTTGGCAGGCAGCGGGGTCGGGCCTGGTGTCAGCAAAAACGCTTGGTTTAATAAATCTGTTACAGTGCATGGACACTATTAATAATTCCCGGTTGCTTTTCTGTACCCTCCATCCCAGGCAGCTGCGACGCTGGGTCCAGGGGGCCTGGGGGTCCTTAACACCCAGCGGACCCTTGCTACTGGGGAAATTGGTGTGTAGGAGGTGGGGACAACCCAGCAGGATCTGGCAGTCAGGGCTCGCTCTTCCAGTGCTCCCCACAACCCGTGCTGGCATGGGGCATGCAGCGCACTAGGGCAGTGCAGAGTCCATAGCTTGGACTAGGGCCGTGTCTAGGGCAGCCCGTCGGGAGCTTGGTGTGGCCGCTGCTGTGGGGCTGGGGACGGGAGTGAGGGTGCAGGTGCGCGGTGTGGGGATATGGGGATGGGGTACCAGGGAATGGGGTCAACGGGGGGATGGAGGCACTGGGGGGATGAAGGCATTTGGGGGATATGGGGATGAGACACTGGGGGCATGGGGGCAATGGGGGCATGGGGGCAACGGGCGGGGAT